GAAATGTATCGCTATTTAGAGTTTTACTTATTTTTATACCATATATTCTCCGTGTAAATTCGTGCACCGAACCGTGACGCCCGTTTCGGTTCAATACGTAGCCTACGGTTCATTAAGTTGAAGTTATCACATTATAAAGTACAGTCCTCGCTGCAGCCCTGCTCACTCGCTCTGTTTGGTTTCATTACAGTGTGCTCCTTAGCACTGGGAGCTCCCTCTGCTGTCCATAAGGTGTCTCTGCGCACCAGCCATTTCAAACCCAGCCTCCAGTATTTGGGCCACGCCTCCTTATTTGCATACACTTCTCAATCCTCAAATGCCCAATACTAAATCCTAAATGGCTAAATTATTAAATGCCCAATCCTAAATACCAAATTCCCAATCCTAAATCCTTAAATGCCCAATCCTAAATTCTAAATGGCTAAATGACCAAATACCCCATCCTAAATACCAAATGCCCAATCCTAAATACCAAATGCCCAATCCTAAATACCAAATTCATTTTCGATTTAGACTTTTAGTTTTAGACTTTTAGTTTTCAATCTGACCCAATAATCCCTCCATAGAATTCTTGCTAAAAATGCAGTTCTATAATGGGCCATTGGCATGAACTGTACTCATGATGGAGCGGTAGTGAAGCGCTCTCAGAGCTAGTGAAAACCACGATGCACCGAGTTTTAAAAAATCCGCTCCGCACTCCATTCAAAATCACGCCGCTCCACTCCCACTTCACTCCGCTCACATACTCTGGCGCTCACACAGAAGTCACTTTCAAAACAAGCAGCATTCTGTTGGTCAACAAGGCTTAATTTACATGGAAAACCCGATGGAAAATCTGTGTAGTGAACTGATCCAGCCTAACGCAAAATCCAGATCGTGCGGATTCCTATTAGAAAAATTATCCCTGCAAAATTTTAATGAGCAATGGTACATGTGATACCTTTAGTATCAAGACTCAAGTTTGACGAACTTTGGGAAGAGCTGGATGACAAAAGCATTACACTCCTAGTTTTAATTAGCTTGAATCACATAACAAGACATATTGTACCAATATAACCTGTATGTTTAAATGCTGTCCTGAAACTATCATTCCACCAATATAACCTGTATGTTTACAAGCAGTCATGAAACTATCATCCCATGAATGTTTATAATGGAAGCCGCACCTTCCATAACATCATCACAAAACCTTAAATAAAGGGTTTTCACATTCTGTAAAAATCAAGAACAGAATGCTAACCTGTGCCAAACAAACCAGTTTTTCTATTGAAAAATTTTTGTGAATTTACTCTTTAAATCTAAAAATCTCACACAGAGAAAATTTGACACATCACATCAACTCCTGTGACTTATTCCCACATGGAATAAGTTATATGGCGGACCTGCACCTAGACACGACCAAAACGCAGCCCTGAATGTTAGCAAAGACCATGTCAACTACTAGACAATCCCCTGTGAAGGCCTCGTCGAGATGACAACCATCAGCACAGATCCTCAGCAGAGACCACAAGAACTAAACAGGTCCTCCGCACAGACCCCATGGCCTGCTTCGGCTCCATACCGGCGTGATGAATCCATCTTCAAGCAGAATGAACTGGATGAATATTTGAATGCTACTGATCCCAATCTGAATTTTGAATTCTGACTTCTGATGCAGCCTGAATCAAACAGTTTTCATTTCATTGGTCAGAGGAGAACTGGCCCCCCGACTGAGCCTGGCTTCTCCCAAGGTTTTTTTCTCCATTCTGTCATCTGATGGAGTTTGGGTTCCTTGCCACTGTCGTCTCGGTCTTGCTTAGTTGTGGACACTTAATATTCAACAATATTATTGATCTGACTGACGCTGTATATAAGAACTTATCTGAGCTGGACGATGACATTTTTTTTTTTTTTTTTTGCAGAACTGCTTTATAGATGAAATGAACTAATTTAATAATTGATGATCTTTACAACAGAACTGAAGTAAGACTGAACTGACTTCAGATGAACAACAGCTGAAATGCATCACTGTAAAGCTGCTTTAAAGCAGATTGTATTGTATCTATTGTATAAAGCACTATATAAATAAAGGTAACTTGACTTAACTTGACATGGGGATTCTTAACGTTAAAGATGTTCATAAAAGTCCTTACTTCATGACACCCTGATACCCCGCATACAGAGTCTGCAGAATCGTTGCACTTCACAGCACTAAGTTACTTTTTGGATCAGCTGACCACATTACAATCAGAGATGCGGCTGTGGCACGTGGCCAAAATGGGCACTTAAATTAAACTGCGAACCAATAAATGGTTATTTATTAGCCTCAGTCTCCTCTTCTTTTCCAGAGCAACCCACTGACTGTGAAGAAATTTAAGATAAAGGACAGCAATTGCATAACTGCGTTCTGTAGCCTTCCCTTCCCCCACTTTGACAACCTGAGAAAATAACTAGGTTGCTGAACTGGCACAACTATCAGCTGGAGACCTCAGTAAGGAAATGAGATGGAAGGATTTTCTCTCTTTTTTCTCCCACTTTCTATATAGCTCAGGTGCTGGAGCAAAGTTCACTGTATTGAAGTTTAAATCCCTTGAAGGATTTGCTGTAAAAAGCAACCGGATGTAGTTGTCGGGTGAAAATGCCATTTCTATATTCTTTTGATATCTCATCAGACTAAATGTGCAGATACCCATCGCTTAAAATGATGGTTAGTCTTTTGATGAACTGATCTTCAAAAACTTCATCTAGTAAAAGCATTTTTTTTTTCAAAATTCAGCCTGACCTCACAGAGGAAAGTGTCTAGAGAGGGAACGAATGGACGTCGGCCGTTTCACCTACTGGGCAGACTGAGCTTTGATATAGACACAGATCAAATACAGTTAAATATAGGAGTGGAGACCTTTACACAACTCACCAGCCCTCAAACGCACCCGTAACCAGACAATGGGCTACAGAGGAAAAAAGTTGTCAAAGAGAACTTTTTGAGTGTGGAACTGCAGAGTACCTGATTGGCCACGAGATACTAAGTCGTTCACAAATAATAATTATCATAAATAACGGTTACAATACTGCTGTATTGAATCAGTTAAAGTGCACCTATGCCCCTTTTCACAAGATGTAAAAAAAATCTCTGATTTCCCCGGCCCACACATGGTATGTGAAGTTTTAGCTCAAAATACCCAACAAATCATTTTTTTACAGCTTGTTTAAAGGACAAGTTCGGTATTTTACACTTAAAGCCCTGTTTTAAGATCGTTTCTGATGAAATAGAATGGTTAAGATTGAAATTTGGACACATGCTGCTGGCCCGAGAATTTTCGGTTTCTGTGGTTGCACCCCCTCCCCTCCCTCCACAATGGTTGCATAGGTGCACTGGAACAATCCTTCATAAAACGCATTAAACTTTAGTTTACAAAGACGTGAAACTCACCGAGTGGTCTGGGGGGTTCACTGATATGCTCACACAAAAATCACTGCAAAAGATGCTTTCCAACAGGTTTTATCGTAGTTTTTGTCCAACTCCATTGACTTGACTTGGACAAAAACTACGATAAAACCTGTTGGAAAGCATCCTGTAAGAGCTGAATAAACACAGTATAAGAAGTGCGCTTAAAGTCTTATCCATAAACTCTCTCTCTCCCTTTCATTATCATCAACATACACAGCGAAGTACACAAAACACTCATTACAACTAACAGTAAACAAATATATACACACCTTTTCAGGGGTGCTTAATAAACTGGTAAACTTGATATCTGTAAAACGACTCGATGAGCTGTCATAAAGTGCGCGCTCTCACTTCCATTTCTGCCGTGATCAGTAACGTTAGGCCTGTCGCTCCGGAGACTGTAAGCTTGATCACGAACAGTTGTACTGATCCCTCCTCGAGTAACAACGAGAGTAAATGAAGACTGCTATGTTCATTCTTACATCTTATAACAAAACACCTCAATAGCTTTAGAAGACATTCTTGTCTACAGCTGCTCCGGCGTGGAAACAATGGTGGACTGTGTCCAGCTCACTTGGGGCGGGTCTACGCTCAAACTGCAGTGTCAATCAACAGTCGCGGGAGGGGCTTGTGCAAAAGTACGTCACATTGCCCCGAATCTGAGAACGTGCTTTTGATTTATGGGGATTAAAAAAAAAAAAAGCACTGGGTGGATTATCATAATAGGGTGGTTGTGTACACACACTCCCAACACTTTATTTACACTCAATTTATGTTCAAACGCCATGTAAAAGTGAATTTTGCATAATAGGTGCCCTTTAATGTAACAATTAAGTGTCTATCGGCAATTTCACACACACAGCTTTTTTGAATAAATTTAAAAGACATTTTTCTGTTTTCTGGTCAGGAGTCAGGACTATCCGAGTGGATGACTAATTTTTCATCCACTCGGATAGAGAGAAGCTCTTTGATTTTTGTGTTTCACAAAAGCGTAAATGGTAGCAATATGGACAAAACATACAGCCAATGCATGTAAGAATCACAGACGTGGTACATGTGCTGGAAAAAGTAATTTGTCAATTTAATGGTTTTCATGTGTGAAAGTGGCTTGTGACTCATAAATATAAAACTACATCTCATGCACATAGGCAACAAGAGTATCACATTTTCTGCTAAATCTCTGCGTTTAGGACAGGCATTAAAAATACTCTCATTTACACTGATTAACTGAGAAAAAAAGTGCAAATTTGGTTCCATGAGATAAAGCCCCAGAGGAGACGGTAGACTGAGGCCTGTCATGTGTAATACTCACTGCAGAGCAGATTTCTGGGAGGAGAGCGAGTGTGTGGTTGTTACACAAGAACCTGCATCCCCTGACACTCTAACACCCACACATTCACTAACAAGTAGTCAGGCCATGATATTATGCCCACACACACTCGCACAGCCTAAAAATACTCTTACACATGTATAAACATGCATGGAGCAATGAAAACACATGTGTATGTATATACAAAACCTCCTACATATGTTGCTACACCGTTTTGTCTGAAGATAAAATTAAATTACTCACCCCTTGCCTGCAGGCCTGTTCGTTGAGTGCCCGCACCCAGGCTCTCTGCCAGTGCTCCCTGAACGACTTGAAAACAAAGAGCGAAGACAAAAGCCCCTTGACACCTGCCTCCGTGTCAGTCCCTGCCCCATCTCGCCCCAGCCTCAGCCTCAAGAGGGAACCCCACACACCGCCCGTCAGTGTTTGGTGGGTGAGACTCAAGGGCAACCGCCACGGGGTGTCCCTCTTGCCTTGGACCCTGGACCACCTAGGGCGAAGCAACCCCAGTGAGAACTGAACTAGCCAGGCTAGTACAACCAGCAGTGAGGCGCAGAAGAGCGCCACCTGAACCAGCCAGCTCACGTCCTGGAAAGTCATCATCTCCCTAATCACTGATCACTTCAGTCTCATTTTTAAGAAGGGTTGAAAATCTTGATTCACGAAGGTTGGAAATCTGGGGAAAGGGTAGAGAGAGACCAAGAGTAAGTAGACTGGAAAAAGACCAGATGCATATACATATATGGATATACAGCCATACAGCAACGACAAGACATGTTACCAACATCTCATAGGAAACACTGACATCTTAAAGCGACAGTTCACTCAAAAATTCAAACCCTGTCATTTACTCACTGTCACGTTCTTCTAAGCACGTAAGGGGCCATTCACACAGAATGTGTTTTTACGTTTAAAAACACAAGCATGGTAGTGGACTGAAAAAATGCAAGGTCCATAGAAGTGTTTAAAAAAACAAAACAAAAAAACAACAACTATGTTTTACTTGAGTGCTGACCATGACCAAAGATGCACGTCTAGTGCATGTTTACATAGAAAAACAATGGAAAAACACTGCAATATCCAAAAACGTGTTCTATGTGAAAGACTCCAGTCACCATTCACTTTCATTGCATCTTTCTTTTATAGCAAAAAAGTGCGACAGTCATTCTCCTTATGTGTTCCACAGAAAAAAAGAAAGAAAGTCATATATGTTTGGAACACCATGAGGGTGATTAACTGATGAAATAATTTTTGGGTGAACTGTGCCTTTAACAAAAGGTAATTCATTCTTATTCACAGGTGGGAAAATCTGATTTTTTTTTTTTTTTTTACATATATATCATAGGCCAATGTTTTCCTACCAAACTATAGTTTTATATATATAGCAGTGATGCTGCTTATACCTGTTTTATTGCCAAACCAGTTACTATCACAATTTGCGCTCTACTAAACGGTTACCAAGGGGTACAAGTCATGCTCTTATCAGAGATTTACAAGTGCATGTCTCCTGTTAGTATCACCACCTGTGCTTAAAAGTTTAAACAATTAAGCAAACTGACTAAGCATTTCGGTGAAAGTGTGACATTCAATGCCTGTCCTGAAACCGGAGAAGTGCCTAACTTCTTCCAGAAAACTCAGATCGGTTGCACAGTCTAGTCTTGTGTGAAGCCTGTCTCATACAAACTCGCTCCGATTCTGTCACATTACTGGCAGTCCAGCAGCGATGATAGCAGCTGTGTTCTGGGTCAGTGCTGCATTGCAACGTCGAGTTTAGCTCATCATGACCCAATCTAGCGATTCATTTACATTCCCTTCTTTTTGACAGCTATTCTAAGATTGTACTTATACAGCGTATAATGTTGTTCATATCAAACCATGTATGTTTACGTCCCCATGGTCACCATTTAAATAGCTGTTTCAAATCCTACCTAGACAGCATTTTTGTGGATCTGATTCAGTTCAGTCAGTTCAGCTGACTCTAAACGCGCCTACGATTAACAAAAATGCTGCACGCGCATTCGACGCCGAATGTTCCCATTATTTGAAAGAAAAATCAATAGAAAGGAATGATTACCGAATAGATGAGAAACGCCGTCTTTGGACGCGGACTAGCTACAGAACACCAGCTCAATGGCTACATAATTTCTTCGTAATTCCAGCACTAGTCTTCAGGTCCGAGCATCTTCCACAAACCTGTGTTGATCGGTACATGACCTCCGTTACGTGAATATTTAGCATGCTACATAAAACCGCACATTTATTATATCCAGTGCTGTCAACGCAAGAGAAATGTGTCCCCCTCCCACCGTCGGTGTCGGACGGTCTGTAATGGTAATGCGCAAGAACAGAACAGTCGAGCTGTCAAATAGTGTAGCAACACAAACCCACACCGCGTACGCGCTTGCACGTATTTAAAGAGACACGCACACTTTTAGGGCTGTCGAAACTGCGCACGCGCCACGCGCACATTCCCTGCCTGTGCTCCTTTTTTTTCTGCCTGTGCTCCTGAAACGCATGAAGTACCTCTCTGGACGTAATGGGTGGAGCTTAACCTAATATCCCTATTTCACAAAACTGTATTAGGTTTAGGTTAGGTATATGGTAAGGTTAGTGTTATTATGTGTGGCTGAACTCCACCAATTACGCACAGAGACTGGACTGACGTTTATGAGGTCAATTATGTCATAAAGATAGCTTTATGTTCCTTTTGTCATCACTTTGAAGAAACAGCTATCCACTTATTTTCTTAGACTAATTGTGTTTATTGTGTAGAGTTTAGACTGCGTAGTGTTTTAGACAGATTGTTCTAATTTTGTAAAACTAAATTTATCCCCAAACCTCTGTAAAAGCCAAAAGTTGTGTTTTTGGTGACTCTTTTCATATTACTTTTATAATTATTTTATTACTATTCCTTGCAAAAATGTACATTCATAATAAATAAGTATACATAACATCAATAAAGATGTTATTTATTTGAATTTTTTATATTTATTTGAACTCAAAATTAGTTGCTTGTAAGATTATTTTATGATATAATACTGCTATAATAAAAAATAATATAATACACTTTAGTTAATTTCAGAATTTCATAGTCAGGTTTGTTATATTGCTATTATAATAGAGTGAGCATAACCTGCGATATCCCTGCTGTTGTTTGTTTTGAAGAAACTGTCAAAACATACAATAAATATTTTATCAAAATATAGAATTACAGCATTGCATTTTGGCAAATAATAAAATGAATGGATATAATAGTGTAAATAGATGTTTTAGAAAGACTAAATAATAAAAATACGGTTTATTATTATTATTATTAGTTGTAGTAGTAGTAGTGGTGGTGGTAGTAGTAGAAGCAGCAGCATTAGTATTTAGTATTTCTGTACATTATTAGTAACTATGCTTCTAAACGGAAAATGGGACCTTTACCGTCTTTCTCTTTTTGTTTCCGGTTGTGTTACAACTGCAAAGGTTCGACTGAAACCAAGATGATAAAAATATATATTCATATATTTCTCTGATAGGCTAAACCACCTACCTGGTCACGAACGCGTATTTAGCAACCTTGCGCTTTAAATCTTTTGCTGTCGTACCAACAACTTATAAGTGTATAATAAGCGAGTCGTATTAATATAATCAGTCGGCGGACGGATTATGTTGACGGAAGTAGACGTGGATTTTGTGATGAGATCAGAGCTATGCATGCACTGTAAACTGACATATATATCACGTTTTGATGTAAAAGCTGTTTACATTATTCCGACGAGTAACTAGTAACTCATAACTTAAACCGGTAACGTTAGTTATTTGGGCTGGGTTCTTATTCTAGATTGCCTGTAATTTACCTTATGGAAATCCAGCTGTCATCATTGATTCAGTGCTTTTGTATAAAAACAGTTCGGTCGTTTCGAAAAGAAGCCAATGTCATTTATGCGCGCGCTTTCATGCATTGGTGTCTACAGCAATGTCTATAGTTGTATTTGAAATGTAGTTAAATTATTTGTCAACCTCGAAACATGCTCAATTAATGACAGCTTCACTATGTATATACAACATAAATGTATTGAAAGTTGCTGACAGGAAGCGAACTCTGTTTTCAACGAGATTTGTCGACATATAACTGCTTGTATAATACAGTAAATACAGTGTATTGCAATTTTATTGAGTTTTAGTCAATGGAGAAGATGTCTCCAATTCCTGTTCTTCCTCTTATCATCAACTCTTGTATGTCTGCACTGGGGTGCATTGCAACAGTCAAGCTTATTCCTGCTTTTAAGGATCATTTCATATCTGCGAGACTCTATGGCATGGACCTAAATAAAACCATAAAGAAAGAGGTGTAAGTGATTGATTTTCTTTACTTATATTATTGTGCACCAAAAGTATGCATTGCAATTTGATGTCTGAAACCTGAATTAAATTTTCTCTCCTTATTAACCAGACCCGAATCACAAGGTGTAATCAGTGGCACAGTCTTCCTCATCATTCTCTTCCTCTTCATCCCTGTCCCCTTCCTCCAGTGCTTTATGGGAGAGAAGTGTCAACGCTTCCCTCACAACGAGGTGAGTGAATGATTCCCTAATCATAAATAATAAACATTTCAAGAACTCATCAAAAGTTTGAGGCCAGTAAAATAAATTATGTTGAAAATAAATTATGTTGAAAGAAGTATTTCTTTTTTAGAAAAGATTTCTATTTAATATAAATGTGGTTCTTTTGAATTTTCTATTCACAAAGAATCGAGAAAAAATGTATCATGTATTCCACAAAAATCAAGCAACACAACTGTTATTAACATCTATAATAATAATAAGCAGAAATGAATCTTGAGCAGCAAATCAGCATATTAGAATGATTTCTAAAGGAGTAATGATGCTGAAAATTCATCTTTGCCATCACAGGAATAAATAAAATTTTAAAAAGCAGTAAAAAAAAAAGAGGAAAAAACAGTTGTAAATTTGAATAATTTTTTCCAAGATATAACTGTTTTTACTGTATTTTTCAAATAAATGCAGCCTAGGTGAACATAACAAACTTCTTTCAAAAAACATTTTAAAAAGTCTTAATGACCCAAAACATTTTTTACAAGTAGTGTGTTCTTAGACAAAAATGATACGGCAAACTAATTTGAACCTTGACCTTGATACCAGAGAAACTTCACAGCCATACATGCAGTGGGAAAATCATGCATTTGTGGACATGTGCAACCTTGCTGAATAATTTTGCCACATATAAATGTAATAAAATGGCATTCATTCTGTTACAAGATATCTATTGAAGTACTATGGTATTACTATGTGATACCATCACTGTGAAATTTGGGCACTACAGTATTCCAAAATTTCCTGTACCGACATGTTTTTACAATTTTTTTTTTTGTCTCCTCTTGATCAATGATATGTCCATGTTAGTTTGTGCAACTGATCGGTGCGTTGTTAGCCATCTGCTGCATGATATTCCTGGGTTTTGCTGATGATGTTCTGAACCTACGATGGAGACACAAGCTACTGCTGCCCACTATGGCCTCCCTGCCTCTACTCATGGTCTACTTTACTAACTTTGGCAACACTGTGATTGTCGTGCCCAAACCTTTCCGTGTCCTGCTGGGGATGCATCTGGACTTGGGTGAGTTTGACGGTCAGATAGTATGCTTAAATGTCTGGTGCTCTGTCTTGACACAGAGAGGTTGATTTTATTGGCCTTTTGTTTGATATGTAGGATATGTTTTTTATATTCTAAGTAGTTTTTTATATGCGTTTCAGGCATTCTGTATTATGTGTATATGGGAATGTTGGCTGTGTTCTGCACAAATGCCATCAACATCTTGGCCGGTATCAATGGCATTGAGTCTGGACAAGCTCTCTTCATATCTGGCTCCATCATTCTCTTTAATTTACTGGAGCTCAATGGTGAGAGGAGGGCCTATTTTCAACATATTTGATCATTTTTGACACATCGATTCAAAACCATTTTTAAGCCATTTTAAAATATGCATAATATATATATATATATATATATATATATATATATATATATATATATATATATATATATATATATATATATATATATATATATACCACTGGTCAACATTTTGGAATAATTAAGATTTTTTTAATGTTCACCCAGCCTGCATTTATATGATAAAAAAATTTAACATAACTGTAATATTGTGAAATATTATTACAATTTAAAATACTTGTTGTTATATTAATATATTTTAAAATGTTATTTATTCCTGTGATGCACCAAATCAGAATATTAGAATTATTTCTGAAGGATCATGTGACACTGAGGACTGGAGTAATGATTCAGCTTTGCCATCACAGGGATAAATTACATGTTACAGTTATTATAAATTGTAATAATAAAAACATTTTTAAAAAGATTAAACATTTTGAACTATTCCAAAATTTTGACTATTATATATAGAAATTATTTAAGTTCTTGTTCAAACCTCACTGAGATTGCTTGAGTTTATTTAAATAAGTCTGCACTGCAGCTATATTCTCTCTCTTTGAATTATTAAATTGATCTTTGATTAACATTTCTCTTTCAGGAGACTACAGGGATGACCATGTTTTCTCTTTGTATTTCATGATTCCCTTTTTCTTCACCACATTAGCCCTCTTCTACCACAACTGGTTTGTAAAAACTATTGCTTTTTGATTATCTTTACCTGTGAAATATGCTTTAGTTTAAGACAGGCCTTTAAAATACTGTACTCTATAAGTTATTAAGTTTGACTATCAACACTGAAAATAATATTAACCTCAACGACTTTTGTTTTTGAACAAATAATAAACCTCTACTTTGAATACCTCTCAGGTACCCTTCCTCTGTGTTTGTGGGAGACACTTTCTGTTACTTTGCTGGAATGACGTTTGCAGTGGTCGGGATACTCGGACACTTTAGTAAGACCATGCTGCTTTTCTTCATCCCCCAAGTCATCAACTTCATTTACTCCTTGCCTCAGCTGTTTCACATTATTCCCTGCCCCAGACATCGCCTTCCTAGGTGGGTTTTTACACTAACATTTTAAAATCATACTATAATGAATATTCTTTTTTTAATTCGCAGTGGAACTTAATTTGACCTAAAATTCTCATTAGTTCTTTGTAATCAAAGTCTTCATGCATTACAGTTATAATATATACAGCGTTTCCTAAGCATTTACACCATTGATAAAGCAACAGGAAATGGTTTTGAGAGCTTGACCTCTAAAATTGATTAATACAGGTTACAGCCTGACACAGGAAAACTTGGCATGAGCTATTCCAAGTTCAAACAGAAGGACCTAGGCAAATTAGGACAACTTATTCTGAAGGTAAAAACACACATGCCACTATCAGTATTTATCATTATAAATGGGTTTAGGACTGTTTGTTTGAAAGGAATGTTGTTGATGGCCAACAAAAGATCTAGGAGCACATCCTATTTGGTATTCCCTGTATAACACGGCGTTTGAATGTGATGTACTCTTTTATCCTGCAGGTGGCAGAAATGTTATGGCTTCTGGATGTGCGTAGAGGGCTGGAAGGAGATGATGAGTTTATTGAGTGTAACAACATGACCCTTATCAACCTGGTTCTAAAAGTACTGGGACCTACCCATGAGAGAAACCTTACTGCAATCATGCTGTTAATGCAGGTGAATCCCTAGTTCAGATGTAATGTGCAATACTATGGTTATTTCAATTCAAAGTGGTTTAAAACAGTAAAGAAGGTTGTGATATATTACAACCTCACTAAAGTATGAGAAAGCATCATCAGTGGTTCAATGTTATTCAAAGGCCCCCTAGCCATAAAGGCATACAATGCAGTTCAAAGTGCTTTACATAAACATTATATAGTCAAATATCAACAGCAACATCACATCCAATAAAAACTAGCATCAAACATAAGGGATAAAATCAATTAAATGCAACACATACAGTATAAAATACTAAAACATATGAAGGACAAATATAAAAGTAAAAGTAATCACCTACAACACAAAATACAATTTATTAAAAGCATAATTCAGAGTAACTAATTAAATTCCAAAGTAAAAAGATATGTTTTTAACTTTCTTTTTAAAATAAGTGTACTAGCGTGTACTAGAGTGTACTTACTAGCTTCCCTATTATCTGATGATAGTGCATTCCACAGTTTTTGGTGCATAATTCGCAAAGGCCGCATCAACGATTTTCTTTCGTCTATAGCTAGGAACCTCCAATAAACCTGCATTAGATGTTGTTAATGTGCTTCAAAGGAGACTGTTGTTTTGGTAGATTTAAATAATATTATAGTTCTTACTATATTTCTTTTTTTTAGGTCTTGGGGAGTGCTGTAGCGTTTGGAATCCGGTATCACCTTGTGCGTCTGTTCTACGACGTCTAGAAAACTTGCGACCCTGAGAGACTTTACAACCTGCTGCTTTCATTTGGAGAACAAACTGTATCAACAGATTTTTTTTTTTTTTTAATGGTTACTATACTGCCTGTCACCTATAAATGGTGGAATCTAATTACAATACAGTGTATTTCAGCACTTCTGTCTATATATCTGCATGTGAAGGGACAAGTCTACACATATGCCCTTAATTTTCATTAAGGACAGGAAGGCTCATGCATAAGGATTTACAATAATTTGTGGGTGACTTGAAAAGCAGAGGGTTCTATTTTGAAAGATTATGTGAAACACTTACATTCAGGGATATTTTAGGCAGTTGGTGAAATTTTTGAGAGCATTTCTGAACGATTACTTGATATATGTACTTATATTTTTCTGTGTCAGATCTAATATTATGCCTTTGACTCATTTGAATAAACCAATGTGACAATGGACCACACTAGCTTCTGGGAAGAAAAATATCAATTTTGTCTACTGTTTTTGTACAGTATTCAGACATATCCAAACACAGTATCAAACATTAACCCTTATCCATATTTGTAGTCATCTAACATGGGTTTTGTCTGTTTTTTAAATGTTAAGGGCTTCCAAATTTGATGATCCCTTCCTAAAAGGTAGCTTTTTATTTTCATGTATAAAAACCTTTTTATACTGTGCGAGTATAGTAAGTGTGGTATTGTAATGACAACGTATTGTTTCCAAAATTAAATAACTGCCTTTTATTTGTCATTGAATTAAAATGACAGCAAATTGGCAACATTATTTGGAAAAACATATTAACTATTATTATTAACTTACATATTAAAATATAAGAAAACTAATTTTCAGTTCCATACAGATTTATTTGTATAGTACAATGATATCGTTGAAATTCCATAGCAGGTTCATTAAAAATAGCCAAGTATAGCAAGTGAAACTCCTTTTTAGGGTTGTTAGACAGGCATTGCTGCCACTGAATACAAAGTACGATGCGGAACACTTGAAAGGGTTTAGATGTCGGAGGGAATGATCATTGTGATGTACTGCTAAGCTGCAATTTGATTGGTTGCGATTTGAACGCGACGCCGCAAAGTTGAAATCTGATTGGTTTGGTTATTTCGTGGGAAAAAATACTGAGGAAATGTTTGAAGTATTTGCTAAAGGTGAGTTATTTCTCTATCCATTTAACAACTCGATGCACTCCCTCACAAAATGTCATTGGATGAAAACACATTTAATTATTCTCAACCCAAGCTAACGAAAGGTACTAGTCAACAAAATGGAGGCAGAATGTTAACTTCCCTTTTGTTTTGCTAACCAGCTATATGTCTCATGCTAGGTTAACAACTTTGTCCATGGTTTCATAAAACTACTAGCAGTGCTTTTGGCAGTTAAGAAATTGCCATATATTTGGAGTTAATCATTTGTGGCGCAGTTCATGTATGGCAAAAAGCTTTTTTTAAAAACAAACAAACTGACAGCTATGCACAGATAGCTCGAGCAGAACTAACTTCGATCTCACATGTGACTTTACTGTGTGTTTCAGAGGACTGGAGGACCACACATTGTGCTTTACATTCAGTGCCTCATGATGCACCCGTCGGGTAAACGAGCCACTCGCAGAGAGGAGCTGCTGCTGGAGTTGGCTTGTGAGTGGGGCTCGTGTCAGGAGACGTTTGACAGGATGCAGGACTTCTGCCAGCACGTGGAGAAACATTATAAAGCTACCGTGGACAGTGAGACAGACTTACCAGGTGCGTTCAACACCTGTGGCCAGTTGCATAAACACTAGCAGCTATGTTAAGTTTCTGCTTCTATGTACTGTCTGACCAACTTGTAGTTAGTCAAGAGGTATTCAGTAGTATTTTTTGAATCCAAATTATACCAATCTACTTTTTTATGTAACTGACATTAAAAAAAACAGTTAAAAATTTAGATGACTGACTTTTAATACTAGTCTAAGCAGTTTATGTAACTGGCCACTGGAAGTGTCAGCATTGATTTGTCCTCTAATGAAACCATTTAGGCCTACTTATTTTTCCTGTCTTAAAGAGATGGTTCACTAAAAAATAAAAATTCTTCATATTGTTTTTTTTTATGGTGTTTGTTTGTTTGTTTATTTATTTAATTCATTAATTACATTTTTGTTCTTTTTGAGCCTTGACATCATCTGTCACCGTTCATTGTCATTGCATGGACAAAAAAACCTAAACCAGACATTCTTCAATATATCTTCTTTTGTGTTTCACAGAATAAAGAGTCATACAGGTTTCAACTTCAGAATTTTTATCGTTAATTAAAACAGTTTAAAAAAAACAAAAAAAATGTGTTGATTTTAAATAAAGCTGAAATGTCAATGTTAAATAAAAAAAATAAAAAACGTTGGCAACTAACTGAAATGAGTGTGTAAGATTGTAAGTACAAAACATTAAAGTAAAACCTAAACCTGAAAATACTATTTAGAAATATTTAAAAGAAATATTAAAAATGGCAAAAGCACATAGCAAAAAATGACAAAAAAAGGAAACTGAAAATAAATAAATTTAATTAATTAATTAAAATTAAAACTGAAAATATAAAAATAAAAGTTCATTCAAAATATTAATATAAACTACAATAGTATATAAATAACAGTTCTGGTTGCAATTGTGAGAAATTTTTGTGTAAAAATGAGGAGTAAGGTTTCAGTTACAAGTGTGAGTACACAATATATATATATACCAGGACTAGTGTACAAAATAAAATCTGGTTTAAGGTGTTCAAAGGAGACTATTAGTGCTGAGAGAGGGCCAGGAACACATGAGATTTCTTATTTCTTCATCCATTTCACCAACAGTCACTGGCACACTTATGCAATGTTCATCTATCTGTATCAATGTTACATCATCAGCAGGTGATTGTTTCTGAGTATTAAGCTATAGCAAGCATCTCAGCTTTCCTCAGGTTTCTGGCAGTCAGAGGCCCTGTGGCTTCTGGCTTCATTGTCCTGGTCCACAATTAGGCCTTAGCTTGCCTGCATGTTTTACAGATGAGGAGCATAACTGTCTATGGCGAGACTGTGGTTTCTGCTCAGTGGAAGGAGATGCGGAGCTTCTCAGACACATGTTTTTCCATTGCTACCACACCAAGTTGAAGCAGTGGGGACTTGCTATACTCAATGGCCACAGTGATATGGGTGCCTGCTCGGTCGGCCTGCTCAACCGCAACATTGTGCCTGAGGTCCAAGAGAACTTCCTCTGTCTTTGGGAGCATTGTGAGGTACGAAGGCAATCCAACATATTCTTTTTAAGTACTGTAGATGATAAATTGCATGTGGCTAGTCAAATCAGGTCAAGTACTCAGCTGATAAGTATGTTTGTATTCAGATGTCTATGGATAATCCAGAGTGGTTCTACAGACATGTGGAGATGCATGCCCACTGTCTCGAGGCTAATGAAGAGAATGTTTTGTTCTGTGGCTGGAAAGGTAAGAAATGATAGTAGTTTTTTAATATTATGCATTAAAAGGATAGTTCACCCAAAAATGAAAAATTCAGTCATCATTTACTTACCCTGAATTTATTATTTTGTTGTAAATTAAGATATTTTGAAGAATGTCTGTAACCAAACAGTTGATGCACCCCATTGAATTGCATAGTATTTTTTCCCTTGCTATAATGGGAAGACTAATTAAAAAAGTAAGTACCAATATTACCGCTTTGTCACGATAAAATCAAAACTTGAAATTGCTGGAAAATATGATGACTGTGCTTGGGGAAATTAAAGGTACATCTTCGTGTCTGCGTTTTTGACCAGTGTGTACAAGCTTGATGACTGCTGAAAATAATAATATATTGTTTAAATTGTTACTGACTTTACGTTATTATTTTGGAATAAATGTAAAAATGCGTAAAAACATTAACTTGATGAAATATATACTTGGTTTTAAAAGAACATTACATAGTTAGTGTAAAAATACAAAATAGAATTGTATTCTATTTTGAATATGGTCTCTCTTTTTTATGTAATGTTTATTTAACCAGGAAAATTAAGTGTAACAGAGACATAAATTTACATTTGATATATATATATATATATATATATATATATATATATAAAAAAAAAGAGAACTTTGCCACCTCATTTTAAAACACCACTGATCCTCATGTATTATAATATGACTTTTCCAGGTATAAATATTACACTTTTAAAATAAGGCTACCTGATATATCCATTGGTAACTCAAAAACAGTTGGGGATTAATTAAAATATCTTGATTTTTAGTTGTTTAAAGTCACCATGAAATCAAAATTGACAATCCTTTTTTTAAGGAATATTGCAATATTTATTATAAATTATTTATCCATACAGAATTTTTTCAAAATTCATGTGTCCTCGTCAGGGGTTAAATTGGCATTTATTATGTGGGGGTGCTCTCCCTAGGGGGGTCCGGGGACATGCCCCCCCGGGAATTTTTTTTTGAAAAATAAACCATTAAATAGCACTTTCTGGAGAGTTTTGTGCAAAGAAATGGAGAAATTGAGTATTACATGATATGTGAAAAACGGCAAGGTTAAGAGCATTTACTTTGCAACAGGTATTAGGACATTTAGCATTTACATTACTGTTAATCAGTCATCACTTGATTACACGTTGTATTACCTTGTTATGATATAGTAACCCATACAATGTGCCAAACATCATGTGCCACATGGAGAGACAGTGCAGCATATGACAGTAGCAACAGCTGAGAAGATTTGGGTCTGTGGTGACCAGGACCACCTCATACAAAATTCCTTCTCCCATTCTCTCTCTTTACTACAACAACACACACACACACACATAAAAAGGCAAAGTTTTGATTTCTGGCTCCAGTGGTTGCCTCATTACACAACCCACGTAAAGTTGATAATTCCGCGAATAACTGCAATTGCAAATACAAATATGCTTACTGAATAGATTGCTAGTTTATTTTAAGTAGCCAGCTAACGTTAAATTAGCAGTTCTCTTGGCAGTTTGCTGATAATCCGGTATCTGAAGTAAAATGCTCAAAACATCTCCTGAGAAAAATCACATGGTCAACCTGGTCCTGGTTATTTAATTTTGATTTAGTCTTATTTTCCTTACCTTGTCATTCAAGGCCAGGGCACTTTTTTTGACATTTCTGGAACATCCACATCCCGCGCAACCACGGTCTCCCAGGAACATTCATTATTGCTGCGTACAGTTATCCGTGTCAGATGCGCATGCGCGAGCGGTGCGCGATCATGGTCGACTGACAACGAGATTAAGCAGCTGAACAAAAATACGGCCGTGTTCCGATTGTTCTCATCTCAGCTCCGCCGAGACAAAATAGACATGCTATTTCAAAAATCTTTCATTTATTGTGAGAAATATGTTTTCAAAAGCATCACTTTCATCAAATTGTATGTGACATAATTTCCAGTAGGCAACTGACTGCAAACGAGCAGGCTTATGTGCCGGGGCTGAGCCCCGGAGAGCCCCGGCCCAATTTAACCACTGGTCCTCGTAATATTTGATCAATATAACTTCTTGCTGTTTTACTCGGAAGATATTTACATCTTTCATATTTCTACTATCTATGAGAGTGAACCACATGGCAGAAAAACATCATCTTAGTTGAATGTTACTGAATGTAGTTTCCCTTCTCACAATGACTTTCACAGTTCAGCACAGTTTTGAGAAGACATTAACTTTTTCCTTTTGACTTCTAGATTGTGAGGCCTCTTTCAAGGGCAGGTTTAAGTTGCGAGAGCACATGCGTAGTCACACACAGGAAAAGCTGGTGGCATGTCCGACCTGCGGAGGAATGTTCGCCAACAACACAAAGTTCTTCGACCACATTCGACGACAGACCTCCATAGAAGGTGAGAGGAATTGTATTTCAGGTAGTACACATGCAGCAGCAGCAATAACAGGGAATTGAATCCTTCTATTGATCAATTTGGACTCATTTCAATAGAAATTTTTTAAATCTAATTAGTATGGGCCAGTTGTTTATGTGTGCATTTGTTTGTAGGTCAAAGATTTCAATGTTCCCACTGCTCTAAACGTTTCGCCACTGAGCGGCTGCTGAGAGACCACATGAGGAACCATGGTATGGGTATTTTTGTGTGTTATCTTTCATAAAGGTTGTACTTTGTTTTGCTGTATTGGACCTTACAGGCCTTTATTAGTAGTAGTAGTAGTAGTAGTAGCCTTTATTGTCATTGGTCACAAGTACCAACGAAATTAGCCATCAACCTGTCCATACAAAAATACATACAATATGACAAGGGGGTAGACAGGACAGGAAGACAGAGCATTTAGGAAGAAAATACAGCATAACATGAGGAGAGGTGAGGAGAAAAAAAAGGCAACCCCCAGACTATGCTCCTGTGTGGAGTACACACCATACTTATTGCCTAGTATGGTGTGACCTGGTTGTTCTAATGATGTGCTAACCTGTTCTCTGTTCAAAGTCAACCATTATAAATGTCCACTCTGTGATATGACCTGCCCATCGCCATCCTCGCTGAGAAACCACATCAAGTTTCGTCATTCCAATGAGAAGCCTTACAGCTGTGATTACTGTGAATACAGGTGAGGCTGCTTCATCACCAACGACAGTGACTCCCTGGATTTTGTGACTCCTTTAATCTTTTTGTCTGCAATATAAGACATGACCTGTCAGTTTGTTTTTGTTCATGTGGTTTTCAGCTGTAAAAACCTAATAGACTTGCGGAAGCATTTAGACACGCACAGCAGTGAGCCAGCGTATCGATGTGACTTCACTGACTGCGATTACTCCACCCGCTCCCTTTACTCAATCAAGAACCACTACAAGCGCATTCATGAGGTGAGCCATTTGGAAAGTAACAGCAACATTCAACAATAAGAAAAAGACAACAATATAAAACAACAACAAAATCTTCTTTTGTGTTCCACAGAAAGTGTAATACAGGTTCTGAACAACATGTGACAATAGAGCAAATACTAAGCCTTTGCTAATTTGTCAATTAAAATAAATAAGGCTAGGCAATAGGTAACTGAAATTCATAAGATTAGTACATTGTTATATGTAATGTTGTTTTACCATGAGATTAATTGATTTAGTTTTTTCAAATGTAAATGGGAAAATGTCATTTGTTTTATAGCTGGTAATTGAAGTAAGAATGAAGGACTCTTATAATGATAAAGTCCAAGGTTTGATCTATAAAAATGATCCATCTAATCTGGAATTAACTAATGTGGCAACTTCCATTTAGATGTAACTTCACTCAATAAATGATCAAATAAACAGTGTGAACAAACACAATCAAACTAACTGCATCAAAAAGTGAATACAATTCTACATCACTTCAATTGTACAGTAACTGATATTCAGCTCATAGCTCCAGAGTAGCTAAAAATGTTAATGTGCTGTTTTGCATTTAGGGAGATTACACTCCTCGCTATAAGTGTCACGTGTGTGAGCAGTGCTTCACCCGGGGGAACAACCTCACTGCCCACTTACGCAAGAAACATCAGTTCAAATGGCCTTCAGGGCACCCGAGATTCAGGTTTGAAGACTTCCTCCTTCCTTGTGGCCACCACCCATTTAGAAGTTTTCATTACTTATTTCCTCAACCACCTTACTATTCAAAAATGTGGGATCTCTACGATTTTTATGTGTTTGAAAGAAGATTTATGTTAAAAAATAGTCAAAAACAGTAGTATTGTGAAATATTACTGCATTTTAAAATAACGGTTATCTATTTTCCTTTAATTAAATGTAATATTTCCTTTAATGGCAAAGTTGAATTTTCTGCAGCCTTAACTCCAGTCTTCAGTGTCAAATGATTCTTCAGAAATCATTCTAATATTCTGTTTTGGTGTTTAGGAAACATTTATGCATATGATCAATGTTGAAAACAGTTGTGCTGCTTAACATTTTTGTGGAACCCATGGCTGCATCTGAAATAGCATACTCTAGTAGGTACTTATTTTGAATAAGTAATTATGTTGCGAGTGCCAAAAAAAAAAGTTTTATATAGTATACATTTGGGTAGTATGAATGTAATCCAGACGGACTACATTCGCCATGTTGTCACTGTCATGTGACCTACCACCGTCAGTTTTGTCACTTCATTGGCAAACCTCTCCTGTGGCCTCATGATAGTAAAATGTCCATCGTATGGCATGTGCAAACTTCAGAATCATCAGGTCATCTGGGTACTTTTTGCCTACACTCTTATAAATACAATGAATTCAGACATACTGCTCTTGTCACTGTTTTGGTTTTATAGCAGGGATGGATGTGATTTCGGATGCAGCCCATGATAAAAAATTTAAAAAAATCCAGAAAGCTTTGATGAATTGAAAGTTCAAAAGCACAGCATTTATTTGTAATCTTTTGTTACAATATAAAAGCTTTTGCTGTCACTTTTGATCAATTTAATTCAATTTAATGCATCCATGCTGAATAATTTGAATAAAACTTTCTTTAAAAAAACAACAACATAGTGATCCAAAAATTTGAAGTAGTCTAACTAACAGTAGATCCCATGGGTGCTATTTAATTAATATTAATTTTAATCTTGGTTTCCAGTGGACAATAAACCTTACCCGTCTAACCTGACTACGGTCTTTTGCACTTTGCCAATCCCTCGTTTCAGGTATAAAGAGCACGAAGATGGATTCATGCGTCTGCAGCTGATCCGCTATGAGAGCGTGGAGTTAACAGAACAGCTGATGCGGGAGCGGCAGGGCGAGGGGGACAGCAGTGAGTCCAGCCAGCAGAACGTCCAATCCGGGGAAGAACTGGAGGAGACCATGGGGGGAAATAAAGAGGCAGGAATAAGAAAGGAGGGAGCAGAGGTCTGTAGGACTCAGGAAAATGCAGAAAGTGTGTTCTTGGTGTTGATGGCCGGCACCTCCTCAGAAACAGACTCTACAAGAGAGGGGTCAGTGATGTGTCAGCTACAGGACACTGCCCAACAGCTGGGCATGGAGGTGGTTTAACAGCTCTTCGGATCCCTCCCTAAGACTGCTGTGTCAGACAATAAAAAGGGACATTAGGACATTCCTTTTAACTCTGAGACAATACTCACTGTACTATGAGACTAACAGGGGACCAAACCTGGATAAGAGTGTTTTAGGATGCTGTCATCCTCAATCACCTTGAACACTGCACTGAACAGAAAAGATCAAGCTAAATCACAAGTTAGTCTGGGGATTGCTTAAAGAGATGATTTACTTAAAAAGGGAAATTTCTGTGATAATTTACTGACCCTATGTCATTCTGACACTATATTATTTTGTCTGGCATGAAACAAAATGAGGTGTTGTTAAGTAGAGTGTTTGACCTGCCTTTTTCCATTCTATGAAAATGAATAGTAATTTATACTACCAAGCTCCAAAAGGGCAAAAAAAGCATCATGAGATTATATTAAATGTAGTCCATATATAACTTGTACGTTATATTATAAGTAGTTATAAGTGCTGTTTTCCCTTTTTGGAGTTTGGAAGCATAAGTTACCTGCCTTGTAAGTAATATAAGGTAATAGGAACACACAGGCACACAAACACGCACCTCTTATTGTGTTTCACACGGAACAAGGAAAATACAGGGTTGGGTGATTAAATGACAATTTGTACTATAAAAAACATCCTTTTACATTTGACTGTTTGGGTGTGTGAGGGAGTGAGAGAGAAGAGGGTAAAGGGGAATGGAAATGTTTAATCCTACTGAACAATTTAATCAGCTTTCTTTGACTCTTCAGGTTCAGTGTTAATGTGAAAGGAGAAGGACTAATCACCTTGGAGAAATCTTTACAGTGTGTAGTTTTAACTAATAGTTGAATTGGTAGTGCTTCTGAACTTCAAACTGACCAACACCCATTTAATTTATATGGAGATCAGAGAATCTGCAAAAAGACCCATTCTGATGGAAGCTACCTATTCCTGACACTTTTCTATCAAAGTAAAAAAGTAGTTAAAATAAATAAAAAATTAAAAATAGTTTTGACCTTTCATTAAGATGCACCTTTTCCATAGGACTTTTTATTTGCAGTTGAGTCCTATGTTCTAATAATCTAATTGAGAAGGAAAACTATACTAAATGAATTAATTTTATTTGAAATAAACAATGGCAGTTATTTCAGTACATTTTTGTCCTATTTGTTTTGTTTTTCTCCAATTTAAACATTTGCTTACAAGCAGAAATTATTTCTTGCTATTCAAAGGTTTCAGATCAAGTTTTTTTTTTTAAAGAAATTAATACTTCTATTCAGTAAGGATGCATTCAATTGATCAAAAGTCTCAGTAAAGACAAACAATGTTACAAAAGATTTCTATTTTCCATCCATCAACAAATTCAGAAAAAAAATGTATCAAACTTTCCACAAAAATATTAAGCAGCACACCTATTTTCAACATTGATAATAATAGGGAATGTTTCTTGAGCAATAAATCATAGAATTTATTAGAAATTCTAGAATTCATTAGAATTATTTATGAAGGATCATGTGACACTGAAGACTGGAGTAATGATGTGAAAAATTCAGTTTTGCCATCACAGAAATAAATTACATTTTAAAATATATAGAAAACAGTTGTTTTAAATTGTAATACAAATTCTGTTTTTACTGTGTTTTGATCAAGCAAATGCGGCATTGGTGAGCATAACAGACGTCATTCAAAGACATTTAAAAATCTTACAAACCCCAAAATTTCATTGGTAGTGTGTATATTGTGTACTCTGGTATGTTCAGTTCATATTCAGGTAGGTAAAGTGTTTTCTGGGGATAATCCACTTTGTTCTTAGTTGATCCTGTGTGTGACTAAGAACGGTACTTGTAAGTCCTGTTTGTTTTAATCTCTCAGGACAAGAGTCAGCAGGCGGGTTGTGCTGGGTTAGGCAGCAGTTTATGCATTACTGCAGCAGTCAGAGGTCAGTGTTTGAGCGCTTTTCACAGATCTATGTCGTTACAGTAATTACACGCACTGCAGATCTCGAGGACATTGGACAAGATTAATCTCTAACATTATCAAATGTGAAAAACATGAAGTTTACAATCAGCACAACTGAAAGTTAAGCTAAACTGCAAATCAGCCAAGCCATGGCTCTCTCCCGTTCTCTATAATCTCTTTTTCTCTGCTCTGGTGATAATCGCTGGTGTGTTAGCAGAGTTTAAAAGATTAGTTTGCGTTAGGGGCTTAGTGTGAGCTAAGATGCAACACTTCCCCTTTCTTTCCATCTGTCTTGCTCTGTCTCTCTGTAGGAAAATAGGTTCTTGGAGATAGTCTGTAAAAAATACATTTAATGTAAATGGTTTTTCTGTATTCAAATAATTAGAACTTCCATATTGAGACACCAGAACAATGGATTCCTGAGTAGAGAATGAGTGGATGACGATTATATGAGGAGAACTGAACAGATATAGACTTTTCTGCATTAGAGAAGTAATACCACCAACGAAACGCCATGAAACTAGGAGCTCTTCTGCTGCTGCTTCTGGGGTCCATGCATGGGGTGTTCACGCAAGTGCCTATAACTGCATTTACTGAACGAACAGCTGTGGAGGAAGATCTAGGAAGTGGTAAGAGGAGCATTTGATTTATTCATGTCTAAACTAAGCTTACAAATTAGACAATGTCAGAAAGATTTGAGCGCTATGTCCCTCAGGTCTGTTAGAGGTGGAACAGGAGGATGACCTGGGAGACACTTACTGGTCCGGGACAGCCCCGCTTTGTTTTGGAGGGTGTAAGGGCAGACACAGGGAGCTAAAGAGAGACAACTGTGGAGATTCAGACTGCTGCTGGGTGGGATACAAATCCCTCTGTAGAGGTACTACAGATCATCATTTTAATGAAATGCACTGGATTTTTTTTAGGCATTTCCATAAACACAGAATAATTTGTGATTATTCTGTTCATTTATTCTGTGTACACTGGAACTTCTTATGTGCTTCAAGAGTTTTGTCCAATAAACTTTTGCCCTAGTGAATTGTGGAAAACCTGATGTGGACTTTAACGGGATGGTGTATGGGAGTGATTGGTGGGTGGGTTCTGTGGTGCGGTACGACTGCAGGCCAGGGTTCGTGTTGGTTGGAGATCCTGCTCGAGCCTGCCAGTCCAATGGGAAATGGACGCCCAAACCGTCCTGCCTCAGTAAGTCCTTAAAATGCTCAGATTATGAATACAAGACCTATTCTGTCTTAAGTCTCATATATTTACAGTATATGAGAGATTGAACACTAACTAAGTTGCTATATTATTGAGTGCTGTTACTGTGAGAGGTGTTGATCAATTTTTTTTTGAGTGACCACACATACAGTAAGAAAAATAATCTGTAGGAAAACTGATCATTTCTGCTAGGACATTTGTGACCCTGTAAATTTCCGTCCGTAAATACAGTATCTCACAAAAGTGAGTACACCCCTCACATTTCAACAAACATTTTAGGATATCTTCTCAAGGGACGAAACTATAGAAATGAAACTTAGATATTTTAGAGTAGTCAATGTGCTGTTTGTATAGCAGTATATATTTACTGTCCTCTGAAAATAACTCAACATACAGCCATTATTGTCAAAATAGCTGGCAACAAAAGTGAGTACACCCTAAGTGAACATGTCAAAACTGTGTCCAAAGTGTCAATATTTTGTGTGAGCAGTGCACCATTGTTATCTAGCATTGCCTTAATCCTCCAGGCCATGGAATTCACCAGAGCTGCACAGGTTGTTGCTGGGATCCTCTTCCACTCCACCATAATGACATCACGGAGCTGCTGGCTGTTAGACATTGCGCTTCTCCACCTTCCGCTTGAGGATGCCCCACAGGTGCTCAATAGGGTTCAGGTCTGGAGACATACTTGGCCACTCCATCAACTTCAGCTTCCTCAGCAAGGCAGTTGTCATCTTGGTGTTGTGTTTGGGGTCGTTATCATGCCTTACGGCCCAGTTTCTGAAGGGAGGGCAGGTTCTGCTTCAGAATGTCACAGTACATGTTGGAATCCAGGTTTCCCTCAATGAAGCCCAGCTCTCCAGTCCCAGCAGCACTCATGCAGCCCTAGACCATGAAGCTACCACCACCATGCTTGACTGTAGGCAAGACACAATTTTCTTGGTACTCCTCACCAGGGTGTCGCCACACATGCTGGACACCATCTGAGCCACACAAGTTTATCTTAGTCTCATCAGACCACAGGACATGGTTCCAGTAATTCATGCTCTTGGAGAGGTTGCTTTCAGCAAACTGTTTGCGGGCTTTCTTGTGAGCCAGCTTCAGAAGAGGCTTCCTTCTGGGACGACGGCCATGCAAACCGACTTGTTGTGGTGTATGGTCTGAGCACTGACAAGCTGACCTTCCGCTTCTGCAACCTCTAAAGCAATGCTGGCATGATCATGCGTCTGTTTTTTGAAGCCAGCTTCTGCACCTGACGCACAGCACGAGGACTCAACTTCCTTTTTGACCCTTGCGAGGCCTGTTCCAAGTGGAACCCGTCTTGGAAAACCTCTGTATGACCCTGGCCTGTACTATAACTCAGTTTCAGGGTGTTACCAATCATCGTATAGCCTAGGCCATCTTTGTGGAAAGCAACAATTCTAATTCTCAAATCCTTAGAGAGTTATTTGCCATGAGGTGCCATGTTGAACATCCAGTGGTCAGTATGAGAGAACTGAACTCAAAGCAAAAATTTTAGCTGCTCTAATACAAGATACACAAAATACACAAAAACATGAACATGATGAATAGGACATGTGGCTTTGCATGGTTAAACGTACAGCTATTATCACTTAGGGTGTACTCACTTTTGTTGCCAGCTATTTCGACAATAATGGCTGTATGTTGAGTTATTTTCAGAGGACATTAAATAAATACTGCTGTACAAGCAGCACATTGACTACTCTAAAATATATCCAAGTTTCATTTCTATAGTATTGTCCCTTGAGAAGATATACTAAAATGTTTGCTGAAATGTGAGGGGTGTACTCACTTTCGTGAGATACTGTATATAAAACATTTATTTTTGTGAGTGAATGCAGCACAATCGCGAACATAAATGGACAATAAAGGCGATTTTCTCAATGTTTAGATTTTTTTTTTGAACCCTCAGATTCCAGATTTTCAAATAGTTGTATCTCAGCCAAATATTGTCCTATCCTAACAAACCATACATCAGTGGAAAGCAATTTAAAAAAAATTACCAATGTGACTTTTATTATCAGTATCTGTAAATAACTTTACAGATATTTCCTTTAACTTAAAAACACAACACATTGCAATGCGTAATTCAAAATGTAGGTAAAAAATCAATAGGAAAATTATTTCATAATAACACAGTATTGGGTATATTAGTATATTAGTCATCATCTATAACATGAAATACCTACTGATACGTCTCATTCTACGTATATACTATACATGTATTAAGTTTATTCAAGTTGTGTTATTTTTTTATAGTTAAAACATTAGGTCAAAGTCTTGGTTGTGGAGAAAAAAAAAACAATGGTTGTGGTCAATTACATTTTACATTAAAAGGAATTTCATTGGCTGGGAATTTCATTTCTCGGTCTCCTGTATGTGACATTAGGAGTGTGTCATCGTGGCCGGGTTGAGATCAACGAGAAGGACATTGACGGGACGTGTTCGTCCACCTGTCCCGATGCTAAGAGCTATGCGGTTCCTCTGAACCACGTATGCAGTCGCATTGAGAACTGCAGGACTAAAGAATCAGGCTGGAAGCGCTGGTTTACACGCTGCAACTTCTGCGACTGTGACTGCTTCACTCGCTGTGGTAAGTTTCATAGAGTTATTTAAACTGCTGCTAGTTAAAACTAGCAAATACAAGTACACGAAAAATGCTGCAAAATAAATGTTTGTGTTTGTTCTTTCAGCTTCTACAGGATAGAAGACAGTGGATCTGTTTATCCTTTTCTATGAAGACATTGTTTATATGATTTCTGGAAACAACAGAATTAATCTTTATTTGAATGTAAAAAGACAAGCTTGACATGCAAAAAAAAAAAACCCTGAATATGTATGTAGGCATTTTATGCATTTGATTATCTATGTAATTGGAGACTGGTAATGTACACTATTTGATTGTACCTTAATTAGTCATAATTGTTTAAAGATCAGAGAAACAGTTGCAGCAGTGCTCAGTGATTTTATTAAGTATTATGCTGTAGATGCAATCAAATTATTAGATTATTCATTCACTTGATGATTGATACAAGATGTGGGATTGATATACTGACATATAGAATTTGAGTGGTCTCATTTGAAACCACAAAATACAACTGATCTACTTTTAGTCCCATCTGGTGAAATTCATAATGAAAATCTCATTGCGCTTGGGTTGGTAGCAGCCAATTCCTGCAAAAGATTGGGGGAGAAAATTAATATTTTATATATTTTGTGTTGAATTGTTATGAATTGATTAATTCAATTGTATTTGCACTCTTCCTCAGACTGTGGCATATAAGTGCATGCTTTATAATTAAACTCATACACTTACCCACGTCCAGCCTGTGTATAGATTTTCCTTTCTTGGACAGAAGCTCCCAGTACGTGTGGTTTGCAATAGACCCAGCCAGTCCGTTCACACTTTCCAAATATATGCCATAGCTTTTGCTAATGCTGGTGGTGAAACTAATAGAAATAAAGCAGAATTGGCACAAAAAATTAAATTACCACTAAGAAGTTCCTAATTGTCTTTAAAGGGGTGGTTGATTGATTTCACTTTTCTAACTTTAGTTAGTGTGTAATAATGTTGCTGTTTGAGCATAAACAAGATCTGCAAAGTTACAATGCTCAAAAGTTCAAAGCAAAGGGAGATATTAGCTTTTAAATAAATTCCTTTTTAAGGACTAACAAACGGCTGGTAGGAACTACACAACATTCCTCCCAGGCTAGTGACATCACTAACCCTAGAATTTACATAAAACCCGCCCCGGAACACGATATATAGATTATCAAGACAGAATATGCTAATCAATAACTAAAAGAGAAATACACATAAGCTAATTCATCAACCATACAGAAATGTCCTGTTGCTTCTACATGTTGTCACTTCTACTTGAGTCCCTCCATCTTTGTCTGACTCCGGTTTGAACATAAAAGGCTAAAAGTTTTTGAAACTTTCAGTGCATGTCGGTGTGAGGTAAAAGGAAGCTCTTGAAGCTCCGCCCTCTGTGCCGGGAGCAGCTGCTCATTTGCATTTAAAGGAACAGACACAAAACCGTGCGTTTTTGCTCACCCTCAAAAAGTGACAGTTTTACCATGCTATATAAAAATATCTGTGGGGTATTTTGAGCTAAAACTTCACATACACACTCTGGAGACATCAAAGACTTATCTTGTGAAAAGGACATTATACTACCCCTTTAAGCCTTGTACAATAAACTTAGAGGTCAAGCCTTGAGTCAGGTCTGACAATGAAATCATCTCAGTCATATAAAGTTGCATATTTTAGCGTTTCATGGATTCTTTCTTTATGTCTTTCACGGTGGTAAAAGATTCCTAGCCTAGAAATCTAGACTCACCCTAGCGGCAGCAAATTTTACTTGCAGCCAGGGTGTTATAGCAACTCTCCGTTGGCTTTCGAGCTGGAAAAAACAAACTCTAGTCAGGCCAATCACATCGTGTATAGAGTTGGCTGGCGGGCTTAACATAATGATGACAGAGTTGCGACGGTTCTCTGCTACTTGCTGGTGCTGGCGAACAGCGGTCTTTCGAATCGGCTTTGGCCGCGACTCTGGAGGACTTGGAGTTAAGCTTTTCTTTGAGAAAAGAACAAAGAACCGCAATTAAGTCATTCTTAAAAAAGGAAGATGTGTTCGTAGTTTTGCCGACCAGATACAGCAAAAGTTTAATCCATCAACTAGCTCCGCTGGTGGGAAAACGCTCTGGTTGGTTTTAGCGCTATCCTATTGCGTGCAGAGGGAATTTGAAACACAACCGTTTATGCCGCCCCTCGGATTGAGCTCTGCCAATGGTGAGTTCCCAGACCCAACATCTTGATGTGGGTCTGGCTTGCCAGGCTAAACAGATTCCCTATTTCCCCATAACCTCATTCAGTCATGATTTTACTATACTATACTACACTATACTGTACTGTACTGTACTGTTCTATACTATATTTGCATTAGGCCTTCTGGGTGTAAAGTGCATTAAACCACAATAATTTGATAAAAGTTTGGGTCATACTTGAAGCTTTTGGTGTCCTGTAGTTTATTCAAGACTCCAAACATCGGCATTCCCTTTGGCACAGTGGTGGAGTAGGAGACAATGGTGTTAGTGTATTTATTAGTGACATCCACCTTAACTAACACCGGGCCCTGTTCTCCTGTTTAGAAGAGAGCAACAAACAGAGAAAGGGTGCTATTTAGAAAACTGCAGGTGTTATTTAAATAACTGCTTTTAAGTGACCAAAGCAAGCAAGACATGTTCTGAGAATACCAGCACAAACTGGCGCTTTAATAACAAATGCTTTAGTAATTTGCAATGAATCATGGATTTACATACTTTACAAATGTTATTTACTTTAAGTATAGACAGGATTTGAATTCAATAATTATCCTTAAGTATCCTTGTTTTAAGCAGAATTCATGGCTTTATATAAGAAAACTTACCTGAGTGGTTGCTCTCTCCCAGCCCTGGGAAAGGCAGCAAAGCTGCAAAGCACAGAAGACTAATCGCTGTCAGAGCCATTCTACCAGTCTGCTCAGTGTGTCTGAATGTCTCTCGAGTCTCAACCAAACCTATTTATGCATTTTTGTATGCTAATTTTACTAATTGTTTTGGAAGTTTCTCGGAAATGCATACCTTAACAAGAACAGGTCAGGCAAGAAACACAAGGAAACATGACAAACAAATCTGACTTTTCAAGGCTCACTTCCTGAACCTTGTGCAATACACTGACAAGACAAGTGTTGAGTCAGGTATGACTGTAAAAGCATATCGAATAATTATAGTTATATTGATTCTGTTCATAAATTGATTCAGTCATCACATTAAAATAAATTTGAAGTACTATACTATTCTATCATTCACTCTATAATTCAGGGGTCCTGTTACCACAAATTAAATAAATGCATGGTTACAAGTAAAACATTCTAATTTATTATTTTAATTAAACCTTTAAAGTTCCGAACATTATTTTGTTGAGTTCTGTTGACATAGTAATGTTGACAACTTAATATTGTGTGTAATTTAAACTCAAATTTCTGAATTGATTGATAAAAAAAAGAAGTTGTAGTAACTTAATGACATTTTCTTAATAACTTTGGAAATTGGGCAGTGGATTTCTAGTTCCCAGCATGTTTTGCATAGGACTGGAAAAGGAGAATAAATATTTAAAGTGGATTTTTTTGTGTGAAAAAAAGACCTGTTAGTGTTAACTGTAACCCCCCTTTTTAGCATAGACATGAAAATGCACTATCCAAACTTAAATGATTGTAATTAATGAATGCTTTGGAACACAGACCTAAGGTTGTTCTCTTTTTGAAGACACTCAACAGATAATTGAATGAGAAAAAAAAAATTAGAGTAAAAATAGTTATAGAAGTAAAAATTTACTGCAAAGCAAATGTACTGTACTAAACATTTATTTTATTTTATACAAAATGTATATTTTACAAAATATTTTTAATCTAAAAAATGCTATAAAATCAAAGCCATATGACTTTATAGTGTTCCAAGTTGATATCACAAAAAATTAAGTTCCCATGAGATTTTTTAAGCTCTGTAGCAAAAATAGCCAGGAGTGTTACATACATTCCATTGAATATTTTTATGCGTTCTGTAACAAATTAATTAAATTCCGTCAAAATCACGTCCATTACAAAACAATCACAAAATATGGAACCTTGAGTCTCAGATCTTTCCTATGAGATGTGTTTTGTCAAGATTTGAAAAAGTTTTGATTATAAAACAGTGCAGTAAATTTTGCAACATGAAACATGATATCGTCCACTAGGGGGGAGGAGCCCAGTGGTAAGTACTGTTACCATGGTTAAAGTACTGTTTCCAGGGTAATGCAATGTCCAATATCAAAAATGGTTTTCACGGTATGAATACTGAGGGTGTAAGCTTTCGAATAATTATTTTTGACGATTAATACATTTTGATTGGAAATGAAGACAATTAAAAAAAAGACTGGTAAGCATCCTGCTGACATTATACATTGATTCTGTAAGCAATGACTGCGCTAATGCCAGTGACAAGTAATATCGTGTTCATTAAATACTTGCCAAAAAAGTTACATTAAGCAGGTGCAATGAAAGCTGTGGATTTTAACTGAAATAAATAAGATGAATCGGTTCCAGGGCTACTGCTCAAGTAGTTGGAGTGACTTAATTTTTTTTGAGTAATCAACCTAAAAAAAATGTTTTATGCTAGAAATTAACTTCCTCTAGCTCATAGCTTGTTGGTTGAACACAATTTTTTTTGTTGAGTATTGTGTATTGAGCAAGAAAAAGAAGTAAGACAATCTACTTAAAATATTTAAAAAATATTTTAGAGCTGAGCATAAGTGAAAAAACATGCCATATTTTTAAAATATATTTTGATATTCTTGTATTTTATGTATTTTTATTTATATGATTTCTCCTTGCCTGGGTAACACTTTATTTTGATGGTCCCTTTTGAACATTCTGTTGACTATGAGGAACTTTGGACTGTTTGCTTAATATCTGCTTACTCTTTATTGTGTTGGTCCTCCAACAGACATTCTATAAGTAACTTTGCAAGTATGTCCACTTATTCTAACCCTAACTCTACCAGTCTACAAATACTTGACTATAATGAGAGTGAGTTCTCATGTAGGTGCAACGTTACTTATAGTCAAGAGAATGTGTTAAAAGGACCATCAAAATAAAGTGAAACCCACAGTTTTAATATTTCCTGAAATTTCCAGGTTTTCCATGGCCTACCCTGAGTCAGTGAACTAATAAACATTTTATAACAATAACATTTAACTACACGTAGATTCCTCAAGGTCTCATATGTAAATAAAAAGGCAAAGCCCAGTCCTTAGAAAAGCTGCAAAGCACAAAGGTATAATTGTTGTCAGAGCTATTCTACCAGTCTGACCAGTGTGTCTGATATCTTAGAAAGGAGTGTTCTGTAAAGACTTCCCCCATGGATTCATTTATATTCCTGAGATGTTTCAATGCTTGTCTCACTGTTTAATGCAAACACCTATCCGTCTGTCTGTCCGTCCATCCATCAGTCAACATTCAATCTTAACAGAACTTCTCAAACTAAATATAAAGACATTTTGTGCATCTCTGGAATAGTGCATTAGAGACCAACATGTAAATCACTGACTGTTTTTTTCCTGATCTGTGTTTAGTCCAGAGATGCCCGGACTTTTTGCCCTCTGAGCATAAGCCATGTTGAAGAGGTGTTGAATACTGTACTGGTAATGTACACTATTT